TGTACCTCTGGTGCAAATTACTGACCTCTGTCATCATTTTAGGTGGGGGAACTTGCACAATCGGTGGCTGACTAAATACTTTTTTGCCCCACTGTATGTTTGGAAGCCATCCTGTCTACTCACACAGCAAACTCTGTATGCAAAAATTAACAATAGAAAAGTGTATTCGGATGGACATACAAGTGTGTCTGTGCGCGTGTGCGTGGCCTGTGGCGCTGCTCTAGCCTGTACCAGTACAAACCTCATTAGGGGGATTATGGCTATAATGGACTAGAGGAGATGGCTGACTGATTCAGACACTCAGCAAGATTTATGTCCCTCCTCTACAGTAAGTGAACACTGCTGAAATACACATACAGTACACCGACACACACACACACGTGCGCACACACACTGTCCTTGGCCATTGCTTAGTGGTATCACACAAATTTTAAAGCATGTACATAAGGTACGTGCATAAACACAGACACACTTGCACACACACAAGCATGCACAAAGACTCACAGACAGAAAAGTCTTAAAGAGACACATGTTGCACTGTGACACACATCACACTTGAACTGGCCATTTTTTATTGTAATTTATGTGCTTCTTTACTTTAACACATTTTTAGCACCTTAAAAAGCTAAAATCACACACACACACACACACACACACACACACACACACACACACACACACACACACACACACACACACACACACACACACAGTTATCTACAAGTCAATGGAAGCACTGCGGCAGAACTTATTACCCACACATTGCTGCATCTTGTAGAAAAAATGTGTTACAACACTGGCGTCTAATCAATTGACCTCAATTATAAGCCCTCTCACACTCAGTCGCTCCTGCACTCTGACGGCCACTGGAGAGCTTTAGAATGTAAGCTTCTATCTTTAGATTCTTAGGAGCCATTTATGACCTATAAGACAGAAATATCTTTCTGTGTATGCTTGTGAGCTTCACCGCACACTAATTTTTCTTCTTTTTTTTTCATTAAACAGTTACTTCTAATTTTTGGTGCTTATACATAAGTAGTAGTACTTGCAGGGACAGAACACAATGCAACTATTTTTACCCGCTGACTCAGAGACATACTGAGTTTAGCTCTGTTTTACAATAACAGTATTCTACTGGCAAAATCGTTGTAAAGCATTTATGAGAAATCCCATGTATTTGTCACGGAGATGTCCATTTATTGCTGTATCACTTTAAAAATGTGTCGCAGAGGGTTCTGCGGCACCCACTGCTGGATAGTATATGGCCTGCGTGTCTACAACTACTTTAAGTTAAAAGTAAATAAATGAATACATACATTAAAGAAAATACATTTATGTTATGAATTTATTTGCAGATTATTTTTCACATTCTACTGATATTTTGATATCACTAAGAGTTTAATAGGAAAGCTAAGGAGCTTACTTGCCATGTGTAGTCAGTACTGTCATGGTCTTTAATTTTCTTTTTGTATTTGCTGAGTCCTGGTCCCTGTTTTGATATTGTGTTGTCCAGTGTTTCTTTATAGTTACTTCCATCTGTCTTTTCTGTATTTTTGTTACCACTTCTTTCCTCCTTATTGCCATTTCCTGTTGTTTAGGTGCCTTTTCTCTAGTTTCACAGTAGTAGTTCCTAAAGGTAGATACTGTTACTTTACTTTACTGCATGGGTGCTGGGAATAGGAAAAAAGCTCAATGTGAACTATTTTCAAAAGTGTGAGCCCAAAATTCAAAATTTCTCCAAGTTCATTCAGTGTGAAATGAAATCAGAGGTAGTGTTTATGAAATGTGAAGCTGCACAGACTGAAGAAGTTTGCACTTCCTCAACATGTTTTCTTTACCTGCTTAAAAAGTCGGTGTTGTAGCTTCATTCTAAATGAAGAACACCACTTGGTGTAGGAACTTAATCAACCCTGTGCCCCCACACTATAGTGTCACACAGTCACAGAATAGTCTCCAGCAGAGACAACATCCTGATGGCCAGTGTCCAAGAGCAAACTTCATTATATCTGATCACCAGGACCATGGCAAACAAGAAGCTTTCCTCCTCCTCCTCCTCTCCTCCTCTGCTCCTCTGTTGTGTAACAGTCTCAGTCTCTCACTCTGTCTTTGTTTTGCCTCCCTTTAGCCCTCTCCTGTATCCCTTCACCTTTTGATTATTCCCGATGCAGGCCTCATAAATCAGAGCCCTCTTCGCTTCTCTTTTGCCATGTCTTCCTAATCTATTTCTCTGCTCCTCTTTCTTTATCTGCAGCCCCCCATTCCTGATTGATTTCAGTTAGCTCATTTTTGTTCATATGCTCTGACACACCTCCTCTCCTTCACTATATGAGATTAACTATATGAGGCAACATTTTGCATTTTTTTCACAACCTCAAACAGTTTGTCATAAAATTCCAATAAATGAGCAAAACCATTGGTTTTCAATTATAGTCTCCTAAAAGGATTTGATTAAAAAGAATGCTCTTTTAAAATAAAAATGCTGTATGTCCAGATGAACCTTGCTTGCCTAACACAACTCTGTACATTTTAGTGCCCTTCATGTATATATTTATTGTGCAGACTGACAGACACTTTGTTGCTTTTTTGTGCTGCTGTTATTGCTGTGGTTTCCACCTACATCGCCACCTGCTATGTGTTTGTGTGCCC